ACACACACACACACACACACACACACACACACACACACACACACACACAATCTAGTGCAGCTATCTTTATGGGGACATTGCATTGACTTCCATTGATTTCTACAGCCTAACCATTGACCCCTGACCCTAAACCTAACCTCACCTGACCATAACCCCCACCCACCACAGGCATAGGTCCCCATAAGTACCAGTTGGTCCTCACAAGTAGGTGTGTATGCCAAAAATGGTCCCCACGTAGTACTGAATATCCGTCCACACACACACACACTCATGTCCAAAACAATCTGTATAACGCCAACACATAAAAGACAGTGGTGTATAATTTGTTTAGATATAGGCACATACAGTGTCTGCTGACAAGATCCACTGTCCAACTCTGCAAACTGAGAATATGGTTGTTACCCATTGAATGAGACATGATTACAGGCCAAGCATTCCTGCAAGGAAYCACCACATCACCTGTCGCCTTTTATCTCATGGTCAGAAATGACAAAGTTGTAGCTGTTTTGGTCAAATCTTAAAAATAAAGCAACACTGTGAGACAACTCATAATATGTGTTGTGGATGATTCTCAGCTACAGCCACATCAAATTCTAGCAGAATATCTGTAGATTTGRCTGAGTTACAGCCATCTTGGTGTTAGCTTGTGTTGATTAGCCATGGCAGCCATCTTGAATTGACTCGGAGTGAATCAGTTGTAGCTGTATGTCCAAAGGTTAATTTATGAAATTTCCATTTAAATATGTCCAATGTCAGTGTTAACTTATTTGTATAGCACATGAAAACAACCAAAGTTGACTAAAAGTACTCCACAGTTCAGCTAAATACATAAAAAAATAATATGAAATAACCAAATATAAAAATATCATCTCTAAAAGACTCTCACACTCTGTCAGAATCAATAGCCAAGGATTAAAGATGGGTCTTAAGCATAGATTTATAAGTCTTTGCGCTCTCAGCAGTCTGAATGCAAAAAGAAAAACCATTCCACAGGTTTGGGGCAGAAACTGCAAAAGCCCTCTCATCTCTGAATTTTAGCTTACAGCTAGGAACTTGTAAGAGAAACTGGTTGGATGAACAAAATGCTCTGACTGGAGTGAGGTTGTTAAGTAGATCACAAAGTTATGATGGGGCCAAACCTCAAGTAAGMTGTAAAATCGTAATGTTATGCATATAACTACTGTTCCCTGAAGGAAAGGAACGAGGTACAACATCATGTATGGGAACCACGCCCCTGCGTGTCCTGGCTGAAGCCACC